ACCTAATGAGGGACCAGCAAAATACATAAAACAATTACTTATAGACCTGAAGAAAGACATCCATAGTAACACAATACTAGATAAAGATTTCAACACCACTTTATCACCTCCAGATAGATCAACAAGACTTAAGCTCAGCAAAGACATACTTTATCTAAGGGAAGAAATCGAAGAAAAGGGGTTTTATATATATATATATGTATATATATATATATATATATATATATATATATATCACAGTGGTAGGGCGTTTGCCTTGCACGCAGTCAACATGGCCGACCTGAGTTCGATTCCTCTGCCCCTCTCGGAGAGCCCGGCAAGCTACCGAGAGTATCTCGCCCGCGCGGCAGAGCCTGGCAAGCTCCCCGTGACGTATTCGATATGCCAAACACAGTAACAACAAAGTCTCCAATGGAGACGTTACTGGGCCTGCTCGAGCAAATCGATGAACAACAGGAGGGCCTTTATTATTTTTTTATTTTATATAATCTTCATTCCAAAAATCTGAATACACATTCTTCTCTCAAGTATGCATGTGACATTTCCAAGATAAAACACATTCTGGGTCATACTGGGCCCGCTCGAGCAAATCGACGATCAACGGGAGGGCCTTTACCTTTTATAAAACATACCTCCATAAAATTAAGAAAATACAGTGTGTATCAATGATCTTTTCAGACTATGATGCACTAAAAATACAAGTGAATCTCACACACAAACAGGAAATCAAATCAAACACCTGGAAATTAAACAGCTTATTACAAAACAGCAGGTGGTTTAGAAAGGAAACCAAAGAGGGAAACAAAAGACTCCTGAAATAGACGAAAATGAAGACACAAGTTACCAGCACTTATGGGACATGGCAAAAGCTGTGTTAAGAGGAAAGTTTATAGCTCTAAGAGCATTATACAGGAAAGAAGAGCAAGCCAGTAACCTAACCTCATAGCATAAAATCTTGGAAAATGACCAACAAAAGGAATTCAAACCAGGCAGGAGAAGAAAATAACAAAAATTAGAGCAGAAAATAATGAGTTGGAAACCCAAAACACTATCCAAAATATCAATGAAACCAAGAACTGGTTTTTTTTTAAGAAAATAAACACGATTGATAAACCTCTAGGAAGACTCACAAAGAGAGAGAAAACCCTAAAAAAACAAATCAGAAATCAAAAGGGGGGACATCACAACAAAAACAAAAAAATTTAAAACAACATTGGAGATTACTTTGAAAGTCTGTATAGCATTAAACAAGAGAAACTTTAAGAGATACATAAATTCCTGGATTCTTATAGCCTCCTGAGGCCAAACCAAGAAGACCTGGAGTACCTAAATTCACTCTCAAGGAATTGAAATGGTAATAAAACAATCTACCCCAAAACAAAAGTTCTGGTACAAACAAATTCGCCAGTGAATGCTTCCAAATTTCTAAAGAAGAGTTAATCCCACTCCTTTTCAAGCTTTTCCAAAAAATTGAAGAATTAGAAAGTAAGTAAGTAAGTAAAGGCCCTCCCGTTGATCATCGATTTGCTCGAGCGGGCCCAGTAATGTCTCCATTGGAGACTTTGTTGTTACTGTGTCTGGCATATCGAATATGTCACAGGTAGCTTGCCAGGCTTTGCCGTGCAGGCGAGATACTCTCAGTAGCTTGCCAGGCTCTCCGAGAGGGACGGAGGAATCGAACTCGGGTCGGCCATGTTGACTGAGTGCAAGGCAAACGCCCTACCGTTGTGCTATCGCTCCAACCCATACGCCTAAAAGTTTTTATGAGGCGAATATCACCCTGATACCAAAAGCAGACAGAGATACCACAAAGAAAGAGAATTACAGGCTGATATCCCTGATGAACACAGATGCAAAGATCCTTAACAAAATCCTAGAAAACAGAATTCAATGACTCATCAAAAAGATGACCTTGTAGGATTCATCCCTGGGAGACAAGGATGGTTTAACACTCATAAGTCAATCAGCATAATACAACATATAAACTTAAAAAGGATAAAATCCATATAATCATATCAACAGATGCAGAGAAACCATTTGACAAGATCCAGTACCTGTTCACGATAAAAACTCTCAACAAAATGGGAATTGAAGTTTTCCTCAGTATAGTCAAAGCCATCTACCACCACCCCAAAGCAAGTATTATTCTCAATGGGGAGAAACTAAAAGCCTTCCCTCTAAGATTGGGAACAAGACAAGGTTCCTCGCACTTGCTATTTCTATTCAATATAGTAATAGAAGTTCTTGCCATAGCAGGTAGGGAGGAAAAAATATATCAAGGGCATCCGGATAGGAAAGGAAGAGTCCAAGCTATCACTACTTGCAGATGACATAATACGATGTTTAGAAAATCCTAAAGACTCTACAAAAAAGCTCCTAAAACAATAGGTATACTTAGTGACATCCTACAAAATCAACACCCAAAAGTCCATGTCTTTCCTACATACACTGAAAGAGAAAAAAGTGAGATTAAAAAAAAAACTTCATTCAAAATAGTGCCTCAGAAAATCAAGTAACTTGGAATCAGCTTAACTAAAGAGGTGAAGGACAAGTACAAAGAAAATTACAAAAGAAATAAAAGAGGACACTAGAAAATGGAGTCACATTCCCTGCTCATGGGAGGATTAACATTGTCAAAATGGCAATACTCTCCAAATATTATGCAGATTTAATGTGGTCCCTATAAGGATACCCTTGTCATTCTTCAAAGATATAGATAAACACTCTTTAAATTCATGTAGAACAATAAACCTCCATGAATAGCTAAAGCAATTATTGGGGAAAAAGATAAGTGGCATCACCTTCCCCAACTTCAAATTGAATTACAAAGCAGTAGTAATTAAAAAAGCATGGTATTGGAATAGAAACAGACCCGCAGACCAATGGAAAAGAGTTGAATATCCTGTCACAGACTCTCAAATACATAATCACTCAATCTTTGATAAAGGAGCAAGAAATGTGAAGTGGAACAAAGAAAGCCTCTTCAATAAGTGGACAGCTACTTGCAAAAAATATGAACTCAGATCTCTGTCTAATGCCAGGCACAACAGTCAGATCAAAGTGGATTAAAGAACTCAATATCCTACCTGAATCCATAAGGTATGTGGAGGAAAATGTAGGCAGTACCTCCATGACATTGAAGCTAAAGGCATCTTCAAGGATGAAACACCATGGACCAAGCAAGTGGAAACAAACATAAACAAATGGGACTACATTAAACTAAGAACCTTATGCACCTCAAAAGAAACAGTGACCAAAATACCGAGAAAGCCCACTCAATGGAAAAAATCATTTATCCAATACTCATAAGATAAGGTATTAATATCCAGAATATGGGCTGGAGCAATAGCAGGACTGGAGCAATAGCACAGAGGTAGGACATTTGCCTTACAAGAGGCCAACATGGCCGACCCGAGTTTGATTCCTCTGACCCTCTCAAAGAGCCCGGCAAGCTACCAAGAGTATCTTGCCCACATGGCAAAGCCTGGCAAGCTACCTGTGACATATTCGATATGCCAAAAACAGTAACAAATCTCACAATGGAGATGTTATTTGGCGTGCTTGAGCAAATCGATGAACAATGGGAGGACAGTGACAGTGATCCAGAATATAAAAGACATTAGTAGAACTGTACAAAAATATACCCCCAACCCCATCCAAAAATGGGATGAAATGAACAGAAACTTCCTAAAAAAAGAAATAAAAATGGCCAAAACGTACCAAAAAAAATGCTCTCCATCATTAATCATCAGGGAGATGCAAATTAAAACAACAATGAGATATCACACGCCACAGAGACTGGCACACATCCAAAATTACACGAACAACCACTGCTGGAGTAGATGTGGGGAGAAAGGGACTCTCTTTCATTGTTGGTAGGAATGCCAACTGGTCCAGCCTTTCTGGATAACAATATGGGCATTCCTCAAGAACCTAGTAATTGAGCCTCCATATGACCCAGCAATACCATTTCTGGATGATATCCCAGGGGTGCAGAAAAGCACAGTATAAATAACACCTGAACTTGTATATTCATTGCAACACTGTTAACAATAGCCAGAATCTGCAAACAATCCAAGTTCTTGAGAACAGATGACTGCTTAAAGAAACTTTGGTACATCAACACAATGGAATACTATGAAGCTGTTACTAAAAATTAAGTCATAAAGTTTTCTTATAAGTGGATAGACATGGAGAGTATCATGCTAAGTGAAATAAGCCAGAAAGGGACATACATAGAATGACTGCACTCACTTGTGAAACATAGAATAACATAATATGAGACTAATACCCAAGGACAGTAGAGACAAGGTCCAGAAAGATTTCTCTACAGTTAGAAGCCTACCTTTTGAGCTGGGGAGAAGGCAGCTGGGATAGAGAAGGAATCACTAAGTCAATGATTGTCGAGGGATCATTCTTGATAGGAAGCATGTTATGAAAGTAGACTAAGGGTCAAACATATGGCCTCCAGTATTTGTATTGCAAACCATAATGCCCACATGTAGAGAGAGAGTAAAAAGGATGTTGCCAGCCAAAGAGGCAGGGGGTGGAGTAGGGTAGGGTTGGCAGGAGGGATACTGGGGACATTGGTCGTGGAAAATGTACACTTGAGGAGAGATATTTATTCCATCATTGTATGACTGAAACTCAATCAGAAAAACTTTCTAACAGTATCTCAGGGTTATTCAATTAAAAAATTATTTTAAAAAACATTTAATTATTTGGAGTGAAAATCTTTTTCATATAAACAAAACCTTTCATTTAATAAAATTGGAAAAGGGCAGTTAGATGAAAGTAAATTTTTTGCATAAAATTCAGAATAAAATTATATGTTCTTTACATTGTCTTTTTATTAAAAATCTACAGTAAACCATTTGTTATTTTACCCAAGACAAACAAAATAATTACATAAATTCTATTTTATATCTTTTCATCATGTATTTAAATAAACAAGTTCTGAGATTTCAGTCTATGAAATTACCAATTATTTTATAACTTACAGCTTGAGAATTCCAGTGGACAGGAATGTTCATCCATAGGGAAGTTATGAAGCTGAAGGTAACATTCTGCATTAATTGTCAATCTATTTAGATGGAAAAATAAAAACTAAATAATGAGAAATGTTTTTAAGTACTAACATCCTTTGTCTCATATTCAACATGATTTTGACCTACAATTATTACCTGTAATGTGTTAGAAAAGAAGAGTAATTAGTCTCAGACATCAATGGCTGTATTACAGAGGTCTTAATTTATGAATCAAGTTTTAGCATTGTTTTCTCCAAATTAAATAAAACCACACAGAAAAAAATTTCAGTAAATATGTTTATAATTTACGTTATACTTCAGGATATCAACAAAGATATGTTTGTACAATGAACGTAGTATATGGTTTATTACAGTGATTTTTTTTCACTTCAATGATTATTAGTAACTAGGTATGTTAAAGAGCATAACTTAAAAAAATTTCAATCTTATTTATCAACCTTCCTAACTTTTTTTTTCTTTTTTGCTTTTTGAGTCACAGCCAGCAATGCACAGGGGTTACTTCTGGCTCTTCACTCAGGAATTACTCCTGGCGGTGCTCGAGGGACCATATGGGATCCTGTGAATCGAACTCAGGTCGGTCGCGTGCAAGGCAAATGCCCTACCCGCTGTGCTATTGCTCCAGCCCCCCTTCCTAATTTTCTTATACATATTTTATTATATCATTAAAAATCAAAGTATTTTAAAGTTTAATGGCTAGACTAACTCTTAGAAAAATTCTTGTTCAATAATTCCCATGTAGACTAGAAGCTATTTCATAAAACAACCTCTTCTGCTTTGAATAAAATGTATTAGTAGAAGGTTTTATCTCTCTTCTTTATAGTAACTTTTCTAGCTGATTACCAAATACTACCAAAATATTTCACAATATTGCATTTTCATTTATGAAGTGTTCCAAATTTATTATTATTTAATTCTATTAAAAAGTTCACAAGTTGATCAAGTATTTGTATGAAACTAAATTAGATAAACCAGCTTTAAAAGATATTACCTGAGAGTATAGAGCACTCGTCCATTATTCCAAATTCGAAGCAGACGATTAGGAGTGGTAATCCAGTGAGCATCTGATTTTCTTGAGTTTCTGAAGAAAGTGTCAGGAATCCAAATTTTTCCAACCATGTTACTGTTAAGCATTAGCACTTTCATAGTACTATTGAATTTTAAACGACTATCAAACCAGGTTTGCGCAAAAATGATATCTATTGTATATTCCTAGAAGAGAAAAGGAAAAGGAATACACTATTAGATCAACTATTTAAATGTTTTCCTCAGATGCTTAATTTTTCTATATCAAATTCCTGCAAATAAACTGCAGTTATTTTAGACTTCAAAAAATAAAAATAAAGTATTTCCAACAGCAAGAAATTGTAAAGAATCATTTGTTCTGTGAAGTAGTGATTTATAACAACATTGTCACCATGTCAACTTTTCATGTTCTAGAGACACCAGACTAATATGCTAAGTGAGTATAACTCAAGTTGAATCACAGTGTTCCATATATCTGAGAGTAAACGATTATGAAGTTGAATCACAGTGTTCCATATATCTGAGAGTAAATGATTATGAACCATATTTATTCCGCAGATGTTTGGTAATAACACTGAATAATATCATGATATTTGTTATTAACACACACATTTAGAGGAGGACTTGCCAATATTTCCAGTAATTCTTCTGCAAAATAATCACTAGAAGTGGTCCTTGGGCTGCCACAAAACTGCTTAAAACACTACACCACAACAAAAGATAAAGTAATACATAATTGTTAAATGAAGCAACGAACCTTTTCAGATTTTTCCAATGCACAGATAGTTAAATGGTTATAGCAAATGAATGGTTATAGATATATTTTCATCATTGAAGCTATTTCTTCATAATTAGAGATAAATCAGTTTCAATACTAAGATTATAAATAATTCAAACTTTTTCTTAAGCTTACAGAAATATGGCTAATTCTAACTACTGTACTAATAACTGTTGGTACATTTTGAATCATTTCTGTTTCGTGGAATATTTCTTTTGAATATTTCTTTTAAATTTCTTTTCAAATCCTGAATAGTGCTGAATCTTGTTGTTTTCAGCTACCTTTCTCTCTTCTTTATTAGTTTCTCTGTAACTTTCATATATCTAAGCAGTAAAGCACCCACAGGTTTATTAACACTCAGGTCTAGTTTTTCTACTCATACAATAATATTAGGCAGTCATGCGTCTTTAAATATAATCTGTATACCTTGAAGTATGGAAAATCTATATCTCAAAAGCAAATTTTTCTATTGAAATATGAGCATGCCTCATTAGATCTGTTTTCTAATTGTGTCGCTTATTTGTCAGTAGGAGTCAACTGGACTCAACATAAAAGTCCAAAATTGGATTCTATCTTCTCATCATCCAAAAAATTTCTTTTCTTATTTCTCACAGAATTAAATGACAACTCCCCATACACCCAAATATTTAAATCAAGATATCTTAAAGCCATTCTTGAATTATTTCCCCAGTATTTCACTTATCTTTCCTTATATCATTACATTATCACTTTCAAATTATTTCCAGATTCTAGTAACCACTTACACCATTTCATTTTCTCCATCTTTTTCCTGTTTTATTGAACTAAACTTATAATAAATTCCTCTTCCCCTATAATTGACTTCCTATATATCTTTTCTTATTTGGAGGATCGTTTCACTGAAACCATATCACACTGTCTCTCTGTTTTATTCAATAGCTTTTCACCTTCCCATAGTCACTCCAAATAACTAATATCCTTTCCTAATCAAGACAATAAACAATCTGATCCTTTAATTACAATTTCTCCTACCTCATTTCCTTGTATATTTTACTAAAATAAATGTTCTTTTTCCTTTAGGTACATATTCGTGGTCAAAAATCTTTGTTTCATGGAAGGGAGCATAACATGACACATGCCATAACCATGCATGCCACTGGACGAAGCGCGAGGCTGTTTCATTCTGGGCTCCCCGGAGGAGACCAGGTGAGACCCCTCCCCACCCCATGTGACCCAGCTCCAATAGCCAAAAACCTCCAGAACTCAATTGCCACCTGTTCATGGCTGTTCTCCACACGCTTGGCAGAGCCTCACCCACGAGTGAACCTATTTCTGGACTAAGCGGCCAGATGCAATAACTCGTACCTTACACCACCTATACTCCAAGAGTACTGCAGCATGTTTGTGGGGTTTAAAGTAAGAGGCAACCAATCTTAGAGGGAAATATTTTAAATATATATATTTTTCTTATATAATATATATATATATATATATGCACACAAGGCTCAACTTTTAACAACATGTTAGTGATCTCTTATAGAAGGGCTTAATGGCCCCTGGGTGAAATACAACACTCTTCACACTCTTTCCTCTGAGAAAACTTTTTTGGAACATTTTCAGTGGTTTTTTATAACAAACAATACAAAATAAATTATTTCAGTTCTGCTTTGGAGCAGGGGTTGGGGTTCAGCATAAAAAAATCTGAAATATCGTGGTAGGAAGGTGCAATGGTGGTGGGGTTGCTGTTCAAATATTAAATGTAATCAAATATTGTCAACCAGTTTATAAAATAAAATTAAAAAATTTAAAAATATCTTTTTTATCTAACACTCCCTTTAGTTAACTCTTCCAAGGGTGCTGGAGATATCACTCTGTGAAGGTGCTTGCTATACATGTGGCCAAGCAGGGTTGCATCCCCAGCACCGCATATGGTCTCAGAGCACACCAGGAGTGATCTCTGAGTGCAGAGCCAAAAGGAAGTCCTGAGTATTGCCACATGTGGCCTCCAAATAAAACAAAATATTAATAATAATAATAATAACAACAACAACTCTTCCTCAAGCTATTTCTATATGCATCATCTGCTCTTTCAGTGCAGTTAGATTTCTATTCATGTTTCACCTAAGAAGTGACCATTGACTATGGCTAAAAGACCACCATGATATTTTCCTTCCATTTTCTAGTACTTTCTTCATTTCTTTCTATGGCATTGACCACTAAATTTGAGGAATATTTATTTTATGGTTCCTCCATTAGAATGTAAGCTTCTATGCAGGCACAATATATTTTACTATCAGACAGCCCATCCTGGTCCTCCTCCCACTCATAGCTAGCTTTCTGACTTGTTTCCTCTACTTCCATAGCCCTTTACATAAAACTTCTTGGGTCAAGACAATTCACATAGTCTCTTCCCATCTGTACTATTTATAACACAAATAAAGCAAAAATTATGGAAAAGTTATATTTTGCTATTCACAGTTATAAGTAGCAGAAATATTTTTGTTCATTTGTTTTGGGTCACATTTTACAGTGCTTGAGAGCTAACACAGGATTTGTGTTTGGAGGTCAGTCCCAGAGCCTTACACATGCAAAATGTGCTTCAAGTCTTTTGAGCTATCTTTCCAGCTTTAATTGTTTAATATTTTACCTCTTAACTACTGTCTGATATCAGGCATGCAATAAGTAATTGCTTTTGAAATAAACAGACAAGCTGTAAAAAATAAATTTTAATTCCCAGAGTTCATAACGCATTTAAAATTATTTATAAGAATTAGAATGAAATTTCATAAATCCATGGTCAACTGTATTATAGACTGGTGACTTAACATAGACTAAAATAGACTAACATAAGCCAAATACAGTTTCACTCTAAATGGGGAGCCTGAAAATGCACGGCATGACATTTGGAAAAAGCAATCTGCAGTTAAGATATGAGTTATTAAGTGAAGTTCAAAAAAGAAACAGGAGACTGAAAAACCTTTAGCAAACTAACTTTGGAAATGAAATCAGCCACAAAACTAAACAGATATGGGTTCAACTTGTATTTCAAACCTATCTTGAAATCTCTTTAAATCCACTGTCCCTTTGCCAAAGTTCAATGTTGACTTGATACAGAGAAGTTCTAGCCAAAAATACTGATTGACACAGTTTGGAAATATATGGTAACATCATACAAGTAAAAATATATGAGATTTTTTAATATAAAATCTAGAAAATAAGCAAAAGTGTAATGCATTTCAAAAAATAGTTTATCATGAGAGCTTTAATTTGAGCATAAATATAATTTTAGGATTGATTATCAAAAACATGCATTTACACATTTATTTCTAAATTAAAATATTTTATAAACTTTTATTTAGTTCAAATGTATATTCAGTTGTATTTTATTTAAACAGAAATCTAAATATAACTCTTATACATCATCATTTAGTTTCTTGAGTTACTTAAATTATTTTGTTCCTAATTTTATATTTAGGCACTATCTTTTCTATATCTCTTGTAATGAACATAAAATAAAGTATATAACACCAGATTAAAGAGTTTAGCCTTATTATACTCCATATCAAACAGAAAATTGTAAACTGAAAAGATAAAATGCAACATTTCCATAATCTATCCCTATCACACTGGTTTTCTGGTTTCTAAGTATCAAATTCAACTCTTCCTAATTAAATCAACTATTTCTTTGGAGAAGCATTATTATCAAATAAAAATAATAACTTTAAGCAAATTTTCTAGATCAATACATGGCATTAAAGTAAATGTAAATATGAATCTGACGTATACTTCATCACCAGATTTTATCACTATTGGAAGCATAGTAAGGAATTTTCAGCATTGCATGAAATCCAGGTAATCTCCCATCAGCAATATGCTATTTATTTTACCACCAGAATATGTAATGTTCCATGATAGCATCATAGTAGAGAGATAAGGAATTATTGTTTCATAATCTGTTGGTATGATGTTTTTTTCAATCTGTAACTTTGCTGCATTAAAATATAGTTCTTAATTTTAGTATATGTGAGTTTTATTAAGAGGATAAATCTATTTTTGTTGGGGCCAAATCTGGTTGTGACCAGAGCTTATTTCTTGCTCTGAGCTTAGGGATCACTTCTGGTGGGGCTCATGGGACCATATGTGGTGACCTGGATTAAACTTGAGTCAACCCCCTACAACCAAGTATTCTTCCTGCTATTCTGTACCTGCAGCATCTAGGAGGATATATCTTACATATTTTTGCCACAAATAAAGAAAATAGACACTATCTTAGATAATGGAAATATTGATATCTATGGTGACTATTTCAGAAGGCATTGTCATCAAAACATCATGCTAGATACTTTAATTTTATGTAATTTTGACAACTGTATCTTAGTAAAGCTTAAAACATATGTTGCTGTCTGAAGAGAGACATTATGATTTGTGATAACCATTCTTCATAAAAACAGTAACAACATATGGGTATTTTCATTTAATTACACCTGATTCCTACCAAATTTATATTGAAATTGCAGAAGCAGTGACTGCAAGTCTGGCGGAATAACAGTCCCTGAAAAGCATTTCAAAATTGATTCCACATCAATTAATGAATAACAAATACTTGAAAAATATACCTAAAAATTTAGACTTTTAACAACTGAATTTTATTTTTCTCATATACAGTATAGATTAAAAACATTTAGATTTTTTTTTACATTTAGAAATATTTGACTCAAGATTTTATCCCATCCTTAAGATGTTTGTTACCAATATCTGTTAGGTTTCTAACTATAATAAAGAGAAGAGAATCATCATTAGATTGAAAAGGGGGGCTGAGGCACACACACACACATACACACAAAGACAGACAGAGAGACAAAGAGACAAAGAGGGACAGAGGGAGAAAGGGGGAGATTGAGAGAGAGATCCAATGAAAGGAGTTGTTTTGTATTCATAAAAATAAATAATGTAGGCTGAAATCTTTGTAAATACCCCGAACTTTAAATATTAAACACTACATGAGACATGAGCATATATTTTATAGAAGTTTGGTTTTTAGAATTCAACTAAGATATGTACATCTACACAATTTTAAAACTAATCTTCTAAAATAGCAAAATATTAATCCTATGAGGTTATCTTAGGCTATATTAAATCATCTCAATATTTACTAAGCTTTTTCTTAGAAAATTATTGTTTTCATATTATTAGAAAAGCATTTACCTTTCCATTTGTTCCATAAGTGTTTTATTTTAAGATCAGATCGATTGCCTAAAAACATTGATGTCTGTTGTGAAAGCCTGAGGTGGTTATTGTAAAATCTAAATAGTTCTTTTCTGTTGCTTTTGCAGTGCCAGATATTGAGCTCTCTCTTACGGGTGCAAAGCAAGTACTCTTCTACTGAGTCAAATCAAATCATGGCCTACATATTTCTGGTAAGATAGTTTTTCTATTGAAACATACTTAGAAATACATGAGGAGGGAGAAAGAGAGGAAGTACATGTTCAAAATGGAAAAGAGATTCTCCACAATGGAAAGGCCAGCCAAGATAGAAAGAAACAAGCAAATAAGGTATGTGATCAAAGGAGAACATAAAGCAATCCAATAATTCTGTCTTATAAGAAGATATATCTGTGGGTTTGCTTTTTTTGGTGTTGAAATATATATGCCTAAAACTGAACTATCAATAACTTTGTTAATCATAGTTCTTTAATAAAAACATTTTACATTTTAAATAAAAACAAATAAAAATGTAAAAACAATCATGAAATGTGTTGAGTTCATTGTAACATTTGACAAACGAAATAGTGACTTTGGAACATCTAGGTAGACAGTTCAAACTGGTGGCTAGAACATTTTTAATGACATTGGTATTGATCATAACAAAGTGAAAACTTTCCAAAAGTCAAGAAATAAATTACAAATATTTTATCACAGAATACAACACTAATATTATGCAACTTGGATCTTTACCCCCATCTATAATTCTACAAGATCTAAAAATATAAATCTATGATATTCTCCTATGAAATCTTTCATTTATATTCTTCAAGGACATATATATTATTCATAAGTGCAAAAGTGTTCCCATAAACCTCTTTGATAATGCCTTTAATCATTCTTCATCTTCAGTTAGTTATCCTGCACTTCATGTTCTAATGACATCAGTTTTTGGGACATTCCCCTAATTTTATGAGCTACGTCTCAAGAGTATGCTCCATCCTTTGGCAATAATTCTCTTTCCTCTATTTCCCTCAAGACTGCTGGTTACCCTACTTCAGATGCTTTCAGGGACTTGTTTTTGAGGGATTTGATATTGTTTTATGGCCTGGTTTAGATAATACTAAACTCCTTAACGCTAGAGTAGAACGGTACCAGTTCCTATACAGAGGGCTATTTTAGCTCTAGTTCCCAATTGCACATAGTAACGATAATCACACATAGTAATTAACACATTGCCCCTGACTCAAGCAGATTTAATTATTAGAAATTAAATATACATTCAATTATCTCATCCTTAAGATGTTTACTACCAATATCTGACACAGTACTATTTTAAATATGCATTACATACCATATTTATGGGATCAACTGGTCCAATGCTGTTAACATAAACATCAGTTTCAATTACTGTGGGTCTCACTGCAAAATACCAACACAAAGATCCTCAAAGTTATGATTAATTAAGTTAAATAAAAATTAGCTTCAAACAAACACAATTAATAGCACCTTATTATTTCAATCATAAAGCATTCTTTGTGTACAATGATGACACATATTCAATTGCAAAAGCACAAAAATTTTTACTTTATAAATTATGTAATCAACATTTTTTAATATTTTCAGATACAGCCTAAAATTTTTATTTATCATGTTTTTAATTTTTTGAGCAGAGTTTGAGCCATACCTACCTGTGCTCAGGATTTACTCATGACTCTATGCTCAGGGATCAATCCTACTGGAGCTTAGCATTCCATATGAAGTACTGGGAATTGAACCCAGTTTGGCTTCATGTAAGGCAAGTGCCCTACCATTTTACTAATTCTGTGGTCCAAAAAATTTGTAAAACTCTCTGTCATTCATTAAAATTAAGGAAATTGGCTGAGTTAAAAATTTCTAGAGTATTTACAAAAATTTACTCTGTTAACCACATACATTCAGTTAATATTAGACTCAATTTTGGAGCTTAAATATTACATAATTCCACTTAGACATATCAATGGTATATTAGTGTTAAGCACTTTACTTTCAGATGGGGGAGGGTGAGCCATGATAAAAAGCTTTTGCCTATTTTCATATTGTAAATACTCTCTCAATGACTGATTTAAAGCTACTGAATGCAAAATAAATAAATAAATAGTAAAGTTACTGAATGCAGAGTTGAGATATTATATATTTAATAGCAATGGTAAGATAGTACAAACCAGTTGTAGTATAGTTAGTGTATATTAGAAAGAATAGTTTCACTGTGAATATTAAAGAAGATAACATGTTAAGCAAATACCTCCAAACTGAGTAAGAGATGCTTAAGAATATGTTAATATATATTAAGAATATATTAATACATATTAGATTACATGTTTTCATACCTCCTTCCTCCTTTATTAACAGTTCTTTAGATTATTTAAACTTTTCCAAAGCATATGAGTTCTTCATGTGTAATTCTCAAGATTTTATTGAATAAATGTCACTAGCAACTTCATTTATTGTTTTAAGTATAACCATTGTTGTTTTCCCAATTAATATTTCAATGGTATGTATATTTTCATATTTATCAAGTCATTAATAAATAATAAATAATAAATAAATGACACAATAGTGTTATATTTCATTTTAAAGTAAGTTTTGAAATACTTTGAACATTTTTATTTCTTATAGCGAGATTGACCCTAAAATTATGGAATAAACTCCATATAAAATTTTTATTTTTATGAAAATCAATTTTCTAATTTAATTTGTCCTCCCATTTCATCAATAAACAAGATGCATTTCACTTATAAATTTGTCAAATACTTATTAAGTAAAGCATGCAAAATGTTTGTAAATAAAATAATTTTTAAAAAATATTCTGAAAAGGAAAATTTTACGTTCCTCAGTGGACTTTATAGAGAAATTAAACAGAAAAAACACTTTTTGCATTGGAAGTTGCTATACTATCATAGTATGTTTTAAAATATTTACTCGGTTCTCTTCTCTAAAGTAGTATTTTCCTCTCTTGCTGAGTATTTGTCACTCTGACAATTTAGGTGTCCTATATGAACTGGAAAGATGCATTTTATTTTCTAATGCATAGCTAAACCTGTCTGATTCTTTGTCCAACGCAGTCTTTTATGTTTTGATAGCTCCAGTTTGACTCAGATTCCAAGTAGCAAAATTCAATGGAAAACAAAGCGATTTTGATATACAGTGGTTAATCATGTTTAAAACAAAATTTATATTTACATTTTGCAAGGAAAAAAAAGCTACATTTTGGCTGCTGGAGAGACAGCTCAAAGGAGTACGACCAGCTTGGTTCAAATCCTCCCCATAAGTAACAATACTTAGAAAATTAGTTTTGATATATAGTTTTCAGTTTTCTCAAGCAAAAATTTAATTATACACAGTTTTTTTACTAGAAATCTTAAAGACATTTTATTAGTATGCAAACAGAAAACTAAAATAGTTTTAGTATAAAAAATGTAGGTTTCTAGATCCATAAAATAATTGAAAAAATGTACTCTTATCTGGGAGTCAACATGGTCACGGTCCTCCCGTTGTTCATCGATTTTGTTCGAGCGGGCTCAGTACCGTCTCTATCGTGAGACTTTGTTGTTACTGTGTTTGGCATATTGAATACATCACGGGTAGCTTGCCTGGCTCTGTCGTGGAGGTGAGATACTCTCAGTAGCTTGCCAGGCTCTTCGAGAGGTGCGGAGGAATCGAACTCGTGTCAGCCATGTTGTCCCCTTGTAAGGCAAATGCCCTACCGCTGTGCTATCGCTCCAGCCCGGGAGCCAACAATTAGATTTTTTTAAATAAGGGAAATTATATGAATTACAGAGTGCTTTCTAGTTTTACTTAGCCTGATGACTTCTAGGATGCCATCTAATCATTTGCCATTTATTTTTAACTAGCTATGAATTACTGTCAATAAATATCCTATAGGTAAGCTTGTTATAGCCAGATTTACAAATTGCCTTTTATAAAAGTCAATTAATTATGACAATAGATTTGTGAGTTCCATTTGTAAGTATATTTATTGCCATGCATAAGAAATTGAATGCAACATACTAGCCTCACTTAATTCAATTTTTTTAATTCATCTGATAAATCAGCAGCACTGAGTGCCTACTTTTTATTTTTTGTAACTCAAGGCTGGAAACTGTCTATGCCACAGTGAAAATTACTGTTGGAATTCCTATTTACAGAACTTACGTTTAACATTTACAACATAGAAAGCCTTAGATAATAATTGATCTACCTTAGATTCCTATATTAACATTTTCCTAGCCAATTATAAGCAAACAAATATATTAGAAAGGCATTAGTTTTAGCTCAATACCATGAACTGCATTAAAGCATTTCATAACCAACATATTCAAGTCTATCTGTGCTGGAAATTAAAAAAAAACCTCACAATACAAAGTCCAATGTAAAAAATTATATTTAATTTAATTATATTTTGCAAAATGTGAGCATGTTTGAATCATTTTGTAACCCATTTTATAAATGTGGACTTCTAGAATTTCATCTACTTTAAATTTTATTATTAAATATGAGAAAATCTGAAAGTAAAGGGCCAAAGTGATAGCATAGTGGGTGGGGCGTTTGCCTTGCACGCAGCCAACCTGGGTTTGATTCCTCTGCTCCCCTCGGAGAGCCTGGCATGCTCCCGAGAGTATTCCACCCACACGGCAAAGCCTGGCAAGCTACCCATGACACATTCGATATGCCAAAAATAATAACAAGAAATCTCACAATGGAGACATTACTGGTGCCCGCTCGAGCAAATCAATGAACAATGGGAGGACAGTGCTATAGTGCTACAGTGCTGAAAGTAAACTAAAAGATGTCTGATTAATTTAAAAATCACAGCTGGTGAATATATGCTACAAGAAATACAATAAAAAACAAAATCTTAAATTCATTCTTAATTATGTATTACCAGTTTTATTGGCTCATAGTATGAATACTACATGGAAAAAATTATGTAAATATAGTCTTCTTGGAAATTGTGCAAATTTAACACTATGAATTGACTAAAATTTTTTTCAATTCGAGATTTTTGTTACATTTTAAAATATAACAAAATACAAAAATTCAATTCAAAGCAAAAAACTTAAAAGGAATTTTGATTCAAGCATCATTAAATCATTTTAAAAAATTGGTTATAGTCTAGAACATTTAACATTACTTATATTTGTTGTTGGGCTGGAGCAATAACACAGTTGTAGGCCGTTTGCCTTGTGTGCAGCCCGCCTGGCCTATCCAGGTTCAATTCCTCTGCCCCTCTCGAAGAGCCCGGAAAGCTACCGAGAATATCTCGCCCACACGGCAAAGACTGGCAAGCTACCTGTGACGTATTCGATATGCCAAACACAGTAACAATTGTCACAATGGAGACATTACTGGGCCCACTTGAGCAAATCTATGAACAACGGGAGGACAGTGACAGTGATTTTTGTTGTTGAAACAATATTAATTAACAAAAATACAGATGCTGAAATATTTTAGTGGTACCATGTTATGACATTCTGTCTACCATTGAAGTGTCAATATCACTCTCCTGTAGTTCACAAAATCTTTTCTTTTTAATTCCCCCATTCCCTAATTCATCACCTAAGTTCTTTTGTCAGACTCTAAGAATTTGTTCCCATTGAACAGTATATATATTCCCTTAATTTGTTTCTTTACTAAAAAAAAGTATTTTGAAATTAATTTTCCATTCACGGTCACGGTCCTCCCATTGTTCATCGATTTGCTCGAGCGGGCCCAGTAATGTCTCCATCATGAGACTTGTTGTTACTGTGTTTGGCATATTGAATACATCATGGGTAGCTTGCCAGGCTCTGCTGTGCGGGCGAGATACTCTCGGTAGCTTGCCGGGCTCTCTAAGAGGGACAGAGGAATCGAACTCGGGTCGGCCATGTTGGCCGCTTGTGAGGCAAATGCCATACTGCTGTGCTATCGCTCCAGCCCAATTTTCCATTAAATATGGAAATCTCAAATTTTCATTGCTTCAATAAAAGAAAGAGATAAAGATAAAAAAGAAATGTCACAACAATCTCTTCAACAATTAAGCCATACCCAATGTACAGTCTTGATGCACAGTTCAAATCCTACTACATAATGTGTAATTATCATGTTACTTTAGTATATGCATGATATATGTACATATATTATTTATCTGTGTATAAGTGATAATGTGATAATATCACAGTGATGTTTTATATGTATATGAGATGCACCTTATATATAACATCTTATATAAAACATATAACACATGTATATGTTTATGTTCTGATGTGAATGTTCATGTACTGATCTATAATAGTTTAATATTAAATTTATGAAATGGAATATAACTATTAAAAGAATAAAATACTGTGTGCCACTTATCGAATATTAATAGCAGTTTATATTTCAGGAGTAGATTTAACAGC